GGGAAATTACTTAATCCCTCTATGCCTCAATTTTCTTACATCTTAAAGAAATATGACTACCATATTGTATCAATTTGCTATTGATGTATAACAAACCATTTCCCAAACTCAGTGTTTTCAAATAACAAGCAGTTATGAGCTCACAGTTTTGCCCAGGCTCAGCTGTTTGGGGCATGGCTTATTCATGTGCTGACGATCAGTTGAGGGTTGGCTGGGGGATGGTTTGCTGATCTTGTCTGGGCTGTCTCACAGGTCTGGGCTTCAGCAGCAATGGCCCATCTCTGTCCTATCTCTCACTCATCCTCTAACAAGAGCCTGGGTGTGTTCTCATGGTGGCTGGGTGGAAACGTTCCAGACCTCTTAAAAGTCAAGGATCAGAACTGGCAAAACATCACTTCTGCTGCTTTTTATTGGCCGAAGCAAGTCACAAGTCCAGCCCAGATTCAAGAGGGCAGAGAAACAGTTGGCCCTACTGGGTGGGAAGAGCTACAGAGGGACCTAGCAAGGGGTATGAATATAGGGAAGGGAAGATAGGGGTCGTTTTTTGGAATCTCCCAGGCTGTTACCCTGCACTGTGGGGATAAACTGATGAAAACATACCCAGATGGGCCCAGTACAGTGCCTGGCCCACAGGTACTTAATCCCTATGTTAATGTCTCCTTTCCTATAAAAGCCAACAGCAAGGTCAGACACAGTGGAGACCATCCACTGCACACTGCTATAGGAAGAGGTGATAGAAACAGAATAGATAAATTTTTTAATACAAGTCTCAGCGTTACTTGTGCCTTTCCCAACAGGCAAGTGTGTTTTTTAAAAAAAGATGTTCAAAATAACAAAATTACAGGCCTTGCTTTTAGAAAAAGTAGACAATATGGTCTCTCTCTTGCTCTTCTCTCTTTCCCCCGAGAACACCCTCAGAATGATAGGACTTCACCTTCTCGTCTCTGGAGGAACAATGTGTTATTTTGGTCTGCCTTTGATCACCAGTGATTCACTTTAAAGGCAGCGCTGCTGGAAAAATGCAGAAAGCAGAGTTACAATCAGAAAAATGACTATGTAAAAATGGCATCCTCTGACTTTTTGTTCTTGTTTCCCAGGAGTTAGTTTCTTTCTTCTTTCTTTCTTTCTTTCTTTCTTTCTTTCTTTCTTTCTTTCTTTCTTTCTTTCTTTCTTTCTTTCTTTCTTTCTTTCTTTCTTCTTTCTTCCCTTCCTTTCTTTTCTCTTTCTTTCTTTTTTTAAATTTCTTTGCTTGTTCAGAACCAGCCAGACTGGGAAAGATGAGCTGGGTTCCTCATTCTCTGGCAGTTCTCATCGATATTCTGAGTTTTGCAAGGAGTTACCTGGGAAATGTCTTCCTGTGGAATTTGCTAAGGAGACATTTGACTTAAAGATACCAAGCAGATAAAGCAAGGTTTTTGCTCACAAAAATGGCAATTTCCATCCTGGTAAATTTCACAAAATTTATCATGAACCTGAATTGTGCATGGCCTGCACCTCAACTAGTCTGTATCCTAAGGAAACAAGTAGAAAAGTTGTGTGTTTTTAAAAAATAAACTTTCAATTTGGAATAATTTTAGATTTAATGGAGAAGTTGTAAAAATAGTATGGAGAATTTCCATATACTTGTCACTTGTTTTCTCCTAAATTAACAGATTATATTTACCACAGAATATTTGTCATTACAGAAAAACCAACAAGGATACAGTACTATTAAGTAAGTAAACTCCACACTTTTTTGGATTTCACCAGTTTTTCCATTAATTTCCTCTTTCTGTTCGAAAATCCAGTCTAGGGCACCACCTTGCATTTGTCGTCATGTTGTAATATCCTCTAGTCTGTGACAGGTTCTCAGTCTTTCTGTTTTGTTTTGTTTTTTAATGATGTTGACAGCTTTGAGGAGTACTGGTGTGGTATTTTATAGAATGTTCCTCAGTTTGTGTTTGGTGTTTTGCTCATGATATTAAGCTGAGATTATGGATTTTTGTAAAGATTACCACAGAGGTGCCCTTCTTGGTAGTCTTGTCACATCATAGCAGGGGTGCAAGATATAAAATCATGCTCAGGGAAGCCTTGTGTACAATAGTGAGAAACTGGAAACAAATGCTAAGAAATGGGACTACTCTAGCGTATTTTATTGTATCCATACAGTGGATATTGCATAGACATTATAAATTATGATGGAGGTTAATATATTTAGACATAAAAGGGAGACTGCAAGCAGGATATATAATAAGATTCCATTTAATAATTAAAAATATCTTTAAATATATGTGGTTTAAAAACTCTGCACACTGCCTCACAGCAGCCTTTCATTACATAGTTGTGGCAAGAGCCAAGCAGACCTGGATTTAAAACTCAGCTCTGTAACTAACTAGCTATGTAGATTTATTTTTTTAAAATATATCTTTATTGATTTCAGAGAGAGGAAGGAAGAGGGAGAAAGAGAGATAGAAATATCAATGATGAGAGAGTCATTGATCTACTGCCTCCTGTATGCCCCCAACGCCCCCAACTGGGGATCAAGCCTGCAACCTGGGCATGTGCCCTGACCAGGAATTGAACCTCGATTTCCTGGATCCTAGGTTGATGCTTAACCACTAAACCATGCCCAGCCGGGCACTAGCTATGTAGATTTTGACAGTATACTTAATTTCTCTCAGTTTCAGTTATCTGCAAAACAGAAAGGGAATACTTAACTTATTTGGGTTGTCATGAAAGCTAACTACGATAATGTTAAATCATTCAGCCAAGTCTTTAGCCCTTAAGACAGGCTCAAGTATTATTTTCCTTTTCTCTCCATACCCATCAACCTCTTCTCCAGGAAAATCCAAAGCTGCTCTTCATCTAAACTATAAGGTAGAAGATAATTACTTTGGGTACCATTAATGCCCATCTCCCCCTTTTTGGCCCACTTGCATATCTAAATGAATGGATAATTATCTCTTTGTGGATATATACATTGTTTTATTTCTTTTAGGCAGGATCTTGTCCCCAACTCTGTCTAAAGAAAAGGAAACTGGAAAGCAACTTGTTTATCCAAAGCCATTAATAGAAAATTGTCCAGGTAACTTTCTGAAGGTGTATCAGAAATAATATTTGGCTGTTAGTAACAAAAAGCTGAAAATAATGGCTTGAATCAACTGGTGGCTTAATTTTTCTCACAATAAAATTGATGATAACATGCCTGCCTTCATGATATCAAGACCCAGGTTCCTTTATCTCTCTGCTTATCCTGGCTTAACAAATGCTTGCTGCTCCAAAGTCACATGACGGCTGACCCACGGGCACCTTCAGGTAGAGAGCAGGGAGGGGCGGGGATAGAGGTACAGGCCGCCTGAGCCAGTATCACTCCCCCTTTTTAGAACATCATGGGAATTGCCCCATAACTTCCACTGACATCTCAATGGCTAGACCAGCACATACAGCAGAACTTTGGGCGATGCTGGAAATGTTCTGTCTTGGAATTATCCGAGATGGTAGCTACTAGCCACTTGTGACTATTAGCATTTAAAATGTGGCTAGTGTGCCCTGGCCAGTGTGGCTCAGTTGGTTGAGAATCATCCCATGCACCCAAAGGTCACTGGTTTGATTCCCGGTCAGGGCACATGCCCCGGTTGCCAGCTCAGTCCCCAATAGGGGCCGTGCAGGGGGCAGCCGATGGATGTTTCTCTCTCACATCGATGATCTTTCTCTCTCTCTCTCCCTTCCTCTCTCTCTAAAATCAATAAAAATATATTTATAAAAATAAAATGTGGCTAGTGTCACTGAGGAAATGAATTTCAAATTTTACTGAATTTCAATAAGTTTAAATTTGAGTAGCCGCATGTGTCTAGTGGCTGCCACATCAAACAGTGCAGGGTAGGATCTCTGTCACATGACTACCCCATCTGCAAGCGAGGCTGGGAAATGTGGGTTTGGGGCTGAGCACACTGCCACCTCCCACAAAACTGTGCTGTTCTTGTAAAGAAAAACAAACAAAAGTGAACATAGGCTAGGCAAATAGCAGCCTCTGCCACACAGTAAGGGTTGCATGCTAACATCCCTTAAACCCAAAGGAATGGAGTCTTAATGAGTTTATCACAAACACAAGGAATGGTATGGCTGGGCAGACGTTAAGTAGATGAAAACTAGAATCCCAGAGATGGAGTTCAATTCAAAATATATTCTTTTCACCATGAGGAAACTGAGGGGTGACTGAAAGGCCTAATTAAGAGATATATGGAATAATTTGCTCTAAAATAACAGAGCTGATTCACTGTTGTTTAAAATATCACCAATGGGCAAATGTAAAATCTCAGAAAGAAAATGCTCTCTGCCTATGGTTTTAAAAAATGCAATGAAGAAAAGCTAGAGGGATTTTAATGCCACCTATTGGTAGGCAAGGGTATAAGGTGCCCCTTCCTTCCTGGCACAGCTTGTTAGTGCCGGTTTTAGAGACACCAGGGTCATATAGGGACCCCACAGAGAAGAGTGACAAAGAGTGGAAGGTGTGTTCCCTGCATCAGCTTGGAACATGTGTGTTAATTAATTCTTTCCAGACTCTTAGCATGTTTGAAGGGCTTTCTTAGAGTGCTGCTCTCTGCTTTCCAGTAATAAAACCCATCTCAGGCATATACAGAAACACCAGAGGAACACATATCAGTCAATTCTCAAAATCACATGAAATAGAAAACAAAACACATTTTGAGCTATAAATAACCCAAGGGAGAAATTCAAGGTTCTTATTTTATCCAAAGACTCAAAAATAAATCCTGTTATTTACAGCCGTCCCCTCGACTAGTTGAGTGTGTAACCATCCTACAGCTCAAAAAAAAGAAAACAGAAATTCAATTTCAAAACAAAATGCTCATTCTGACTCATTCAGGGAAGGATCCAAGGTTTTTAAGGCAGGGCATCGACTCTCTGCCTGTTTTTCCCCTTCATCATCTGCTACCCTTTAAAAAATGGTATCAACTGCCTTGGTAAGAATCCACATTTCTTCCCTTTTGTTCCCTGGCTCCATTCCAGCATTTCACTTGTCACACTGACGGGTGAGGTGCCTTTCATATTGGCATAGGACAGCGTGTGGATGCCTCCCCTTGTGTTATTAAACAGAGACCGGGCTGGCGAATCTACCCAGAGCTGGAGCCTCCTTTGCCGCTTGGGAAGACCAGTGGCACCTTGGCTCGAGATAATTCTGACTATGGCTGTAGAACCCAGCAGCTCCGAATCCACGAAAAGGAGAGTTGGAAGGAGGTGAGTGATACACATAAGGGGACTCTGATGTCACAGTTGTGGAAGGGACTCTGGCTGGTGAGCAGCTTGCTGTGGGCTCAATGGTTGCGACCATAGTTTATTAACTGGTTACACATCCTCATTTGTAGAGATGACCTGTTAGTTTCATGTGAGAGGTGGGAGTAAATTCTGCTTTTTGTGCCCTGCAAAGATCCTCTTTGAATTTACCTTCAGTGCCATGCCAGGAGAAAAAAACCACCACCAAGTTTCTGGCACAAAGCTGCAAGTGTGTTCTGCACACCGGCTTGCAAGCGACTGTTTGTTTCTAATTAGGGAGCTGAAGGCTGCTGGCAGAGGAAATCATATTTGTCACAAGTTGTGTTGCGTTTAGTTTGTGTGTCTATGCTTATAACATGGGGGACCACATATGATGGTCCTGGATTCTCCCCCATGGGTTCCGACTCTATTACTTCTGTTCTCAGGTTCATGTCCAGTTATTCTGAGTTGATCCCTCAGAGCCTGCTTCCATGAACACTGCGGGTTCTCCCATTAACTGGTTGTGTTCCCAAGTATGATTATCCTGACAACCTAAATCCCAGTCTTTTTGTAGATATAATAAAACCCACTCTGGTAAATTGTTGAGAAAATTAAATGAGATGGTCAATAGAGTGCCTATCGGATTGCCTGGAAACAGTACATGCTCAGCACATCTTAATTCTTTCTCTCTTACCTATAAAATAAGAGGTTCGTGTTAAATGATCTCTAAGGTATTTTTAAAAATTTAGTTTAACAAATGTTTGTTGGCCAACTGCTAGGGAAGCACATTTTGTTAGCCATTGGGGTGATAATCATGAACAGAACAACAGAGCAGACTACCACCAGTCCTCATGGGTCTTAAATTTCAGAGGACACAGGCAACATGCAAGGAAATGCTTAGTGACTTTCCTTTCTCTTCTTTTCATCTTTGTAAATTCAGTCCAGCTCAGACATTAAGTTTGTCATTGAGGCTACTTCTCCATTAAACCTGAGAGGCATATTTTCTGACTTAACATTTTAAAAAATAGATATATCTTTATTGATTTCAGAGAGAGGAAAAGAGAGGGAGAGAGAGAGATAGAAACATCAATGATGAGAGAGTCATTGATCGGCTGCCTCTTGCACGCCCCCAACTGGGAATCGATTCCCCAACCCGGGCATGTGCCCTGACCGGGAATTGAACCCCAATTGCCTGGATCCTAGGTCGATGCTCAACCACTGAGCCACGCCCGGCAGGGCCTGACTTAACATTTTTATATTTAGTAAACATATGCTGACTTTGGTCTGCCCAGCATCCATCTCTTCTTTCTTGGTAGGAAGACCCTGAATTTCCTTTGGGGAACCTACCTTGTGTTTTACTCTCAATGTGAATCAGCTTGGGCTCCACCTTGGCTCTGGGAGGACTACAGGGCACACTCCGATGCTGTGGAAGGCCTGGCCCATCAGTGTAATTAATACCATATCCCAAGGCCACAGTGATAGGCATGTGCTTAACCATATGACCCAGGTATTCCCAATCAAAGCAAATCAAAGGAGCTTCAGTATACAGACAAGCTCCCTAAGATCCTTTCTAGAGACGATGTTTAATGTTATCCTACTTCCAAAGGTCTTGAGAGGTGACTTGGGGGAAGGAAAGTGTCTATATATTTTTTTGTTTTGTTTCTGAAAGCTTTTCTTTCTCTCAAAGATCTTCCTAATTGCCACTATAGAACCATTAGTGGGGTGCCTGCCCCTCATCCTATTATTTCTCCTTAGCTGACTTTGAGATGGACAGCTCTGTGGTTGGTGAAAGGCTCTTGGCTGATAACCTCTGTACACGAAGGGAGTCTTGCTGGATAGAGCCTTGAGAGGATGGAGTGAAGACACCCTACCTCCCTATGTCCCCATTAGATTGTCACATCCTCCATGTCACCTCAGTGTCAGAGAGAGTCTTTTCTGAACCCTAGGGACTGTGAAGTCCAATTTGTGATTCTGGCAATATTTATATGCTGAGTTGTCCATTTTATCTTCTGTTGTAGAAACAATCAGATACTATATGTTCTCCTATTGCTCATTTGCCTGAATTTGAATAAATTTGGAACAGGAAAGTCACATTTTCTAAAGTGCTTCTTAAGGTGAGGCAGTGGCTCTCCCTTCCACAAGACAGTGTGGTTATGTCTATTTTTATTTTCAAAATATATCTTTATTGATCTCAGAGAGAGGAAAGGAGGGGAGGAGAGAGAGATAGAAACATCAACGATGAGAGAGTCATTGATCGGCTGCCTCCTGCACGCCCCTGACTGGAGTTCCAGCCGCAACCCGGGCATGTGCCTCGACCGGGAATCGAACCCAGATCGCCTAGATCCTAGGTCGATGCTCAACCCTTGATTCACGCCGGGCNGAGCCCGCAACCCGGGCATGTGCCCCGACCGGGAATCGAACCCAGATCGCCTAGATCCTAGGTCGATGCTCAACCCTTGATTCACGCCGGGCCAGGCGTTATGTCTATTTTTAAACACAACTACTCCCTAAGCATTTCTTTATCTTATTTGTTAGGTGGGTGTATTTAGAAACACATTATGGGATAACCAAAAAACCTGGCTGTGCATTCATTTATTCATGCATTTACTTACTAAAAAATAATTTCCAGGCTCCTGCTATACGCCAGGCACTGTTGCAGACATTAAAAAATAATTATCGGGCTCCCACCGTCTACGCAAGTGAGCGACTTCTTCATCTTCGGTGGGAGCTGAGCATGCATCCAAGAAGTTTCTTCCAATGTGTGCAGAAAAAGAAAAAAAGTGCCAGTCCCACCCCCTCGCAGATAGTACCGCTTTACCCCCAAGTGGAGATGAGCTCCAAGCACTCGGAGAACTGAACCTAAGGTCCCCCGGGCCGGGTGTGGGCGACAGGGCTGAGCAGGAAGCCTGCGCTGTGGACGCGGCCGGACC